GAAACCTTCAAGTTGGAAGAAACATTTTCACATACAGTTTGGAGCAACGAAAAAACTGAGTATAAACGGGGACCAAAATCCAAATTTTTCAGCCAAAATAAAAAAAAAAAAAATGCACGAGCAGTTCCTAAAGACATTGAACGGAACGGAAAATCAAAACCCAAGAAACACCATACATTCTTGAAAAATTGTAGCAACACAGTAGAGAATGTTGAGCCGGGTGAGTTTGTATGGGACTGTAGCTGGAATCAAGATTCTCTTTTTATTTTACTTTTTAATAAAATGGACCGTAATCTATAATGATTGGTAGGAATCAGGATTCTCTTGTTTATTTTACTTTTTAAATGGACCGTAATAGATAATAAACTAGTATTCCACTTGTGCATTTGCAATATTATGAGTTATTTGTATGTATACAGTGACTAGTACAACACTCGGGTATTACACGGGTGCTTGTTAAAAAAATATTCTTAAATATTAAATTAATGAGAAAAAACTATAAAAATCTAATTTACTTTTTTACAAAAAAATATATTACTCTATATTTTAGAATGATATATGTTACCTATGACTTACATGTGTTATATTATATTAGTCTTTATAACTTATATTATATAACTACTTGAAATATAAATATATTACTTGATAAATAATTTTATTTTCTAATTAATATTAAAATATTTTTATTATTGTTATAAAAATAAATATAAATTATTATTTTTATACATACAATATGAATGTTAAATTGAAGCTCATCAAAAGAAGATTAATTTGATATATTACATATGTAAAACTGATAAAAAAATACAAAATTTATTAACTTTTAAAATATATATACAATTCAATAGTTATAATAAGGAATGATATTAAAATGCAATTAATACATGTAACATGACAATTAATAATCAACATATTTATGGTAATCCGAACCTAATTATTTTTGGTTTGGAATTAAATTAAAATTTACCCAAGCCTAATAACGAATCATGTAATTTTGCCACATAAGATTCCGAAGCACCAGAAGCAGCCACGTAGGCTCAGCGCATTCTGGATTAATATATAGGGGGGATTAATAATTTTTCTTGCACTTTTCGTCGGCCAAATTTACATTTAAAAGAGCTGGAATATTTATTTTTTTAAATTGCGTTTATCATATTGGATGTAATGTATATTTTGGAGATGTAAGTAAAGTATTATGAGTACTTGTATGTATATAGTGATTAATAATTTTTCTTGCACTTTTCGTCGGTCAAATTTACATTTAAAAGAGCTGGAATATTTATTTTTTCAAATTGCGTTTATCAAATTGGATGTAATGTATATTTTGGTATGTATTTTTTTTTTTATGTATTATTTATTTTTTATTTAAGAATTTCAAATATGTTTTTTATTTTTCAAAAGAAGTTAATTTAATTGTAACTACAACAATAACATTTAATCACGTTAAATAGTCAACATATTATATGGTAAGTTGTATTTAAATCAAAAGTTTAAAATTATTTTTGTATTTTGAAGTGAATAGTTTGTTGATTATCTAATAATTAAATGAGAGGTTAAATAAATAAAAAGTAACGGTTTTTGGAGGGAAAAGTTATATTGCCACATAGGTATAATTTAATAGGTTTAATTTAATGCTCATATGCTAGCAATTATATATACTAGTCATCATCTTGTGCACATGCACATATGTCATAATATATTATAAGTAATATGTGTGAATTTAATATTAAAATTATAGATAATAAACATATCACATTTTCAAGACATGTGAATTTAATATTAAAATTCTAGATAATGGACATACCACATTTTCAAAATTTAATCATTAGTAAAAATAAAATAATATTGATATAAATTATTTGAGTATATATGAATCACTATATTATTAAAAAAAAAATTGTATGAAACGTAATTTTTATAATTTGGAGGGATCATGGTCAAATAATTTACTTGAAAACTTTATTATTATTATTATTATTATTATTATTATTATTATTATTATTATTATTATTATTATTATTATTATTATTATTACAACGACAATTGTTTATAATATTTTAAAGTTTTTTTACTATACTATTAAAACTATTTACTAATTGTTTCTAAAGAAAATTGTTTCATGAATTAAAAAATTAAAATAATAATAATAATAATAATAATAATAATAATAATAATAATAATAATAATTTATCATTCATAAAACCTAATTAAGTGTAATCATGTAGTTATAAAACCTAATTAATAAAACTTCATTTATTTCCCTCCAAAAGAAGTTACAAAATTTGTCATTCATATTTTGTCTTTCACATTAATACACCCTATGAAGTGTAATCATGTATATTTTTGCTATTATATTATATAATAGTTAATGCTATTACCAACTCATAATAATTCACTTTAAATATAAATTACATAAGTATAGACAATTCTATTGTTTCAAGATATTATTATTATTATTATTATTATTATTATTATTATTATTATTATTATTATTATTATTATTATCATTATTATTATTACTAGTTGTTACCTGTGCATTTGCACGAAAAATTATATGATATATAAAACAATATTAAAAAAAATACAAACAATAGTAAAAATCATAACATAATCATTGGAGTAAAAGAGTTTTAAGAAAGAAAATCTAAATATTATTAAACATTTTATTATATACAATGCCCGTAGTTTTATTATCATCGTAATATTCATCACCACAAATCATCATCTTCAAACTCTCCGACTTGTAACTCTGGAAAGCGCTACATACAATTTGTCCATGATTGAATATATGTCTATTCAATAGTAGGACGATAATGTAATGAACCTACAATATCAAAATTTATATAGTGAATTATGCACTAAATTTTTAAGTTTTTAAACTTCACATACAACAATTATATGTACAATACTTACACATGTAATGGTTTTTCGTATGTAAAAGATTACATTTTGTACTGCAAATATTTTAGGTCAATTGTATTACTAAATAAAATTATTGTACTTTATATTGTATTTGGGAGTAATTTAAACTCAAAAGTTTAAAAGCATATATATTGGACCATTAAAAATCGGCCTCTTTTTAATATTGGGCTGCATTTAAACCAAAAATTGGTCCCGGATTATAATAACTAGTACAATACCCGTGCGATGCACGGGGTTATTATCTCCGTCCCTTTTAAAAAGCAACTTTCAGTTAAAATTCAAAGTACTTACTAAAGGAAAGATCATGTCATTAATAATTAACAAATTAATAAGTATAATGAAATAAAATCTATATATTATTGAACATTGCCTTATATAAAACGTGCATGGTTTGATTCTTTGGCACGTCATCGTCGCCACAAATTAGGATTTTCAAACCATTTCTGTTTGTGATACGGGAGACAACAACATACAACTGGCTATGACAAATCACTGGTTTCTTAAGAAATAAGTCCACATACAAATGATTGTCCATGCTCTTATTTATAGTCATGACATAAGAAACCATAATGGGAAACTATCAACGTTGGAACTTAAAATGAATTCTACCATTATAAGGAGTTATAGCCACTCTTGGAATCAACACTTTATCACCTGCGCGATAGCCAGTGAATATCTTACGCCCGAGAACATGAGTGGAGAACTTTGTCACAACCAATCATGTCTCATTACATAGACCCATAAAGGAGATATAGTTACAAAATGTCAAGTTAAAAAAGAAAGGAGTAGCTTAAGAAATAAGATCGTGCTTATCAATGTGACATAATGTTTACAAAAATTAATGGAGTTTGATATGCATCATTTATCAAACCTTGAGATTTTTTCTGCAATATTTAATTCAAAACAATCTGAACAAATTGTGAAATTTTCAAAAGAAATCCAAAAGTGTATAAATATCTATAAAGTGTGTTACAATATATATATATATATATATATATATATATATATATATATTAAAGGATTTGTTATCAAAATCTGGATTTGTTATCACAATCAAATCAAATTGTGTGTAAACAAAAAAATCTCGAGATTTTTTTTGCAATATTTAACTCTAAAC